TGGGCCTGTCTCCCCCACTGCCCATACTCCAACCACTTCCCATAGGGCGGGCCCTGTGCCAGTCCCTTGCAATGATTCACCAGCCTCTGAATGGCTCCCCTTTTTCAGCTGTTCTGGCTCCTTGCTCCTGCATGGGTCCATGGGAATCCTGTTAATCTTGCTGTCCTGAGGGCTGCCAAAACCCTCTCCTCTCCTGCCATCTCCAAGTAACTCCACCTGAAGGGCACAGCTGTGGCTTCTGCCAGCTCCTGCTCCATGCACTCATCAGTTCGAGTCTAAAAGCAGCCATGGCCTGAAACGCTCAGAGCAGTTCTTTCTTTCTCTCGTCATGGTTTTTCCTGCCTTCACAAACTCCATAGGTCTCTCCTCCTCTTCCCCTGACCTCCAGCAGCCCCAGCTTGGCTGTTGTTACATTTTTATAGTTGTAAATTCGTTGATTTTGTGGGAGAGAGTGATGCTGGGGACCTTCTATTCTGCCATCTTGACAGGAACTCTTCCTACTCTCTACTTCTATGAGAATCACTTTTTTTTTCAGATTCCCCATATGAGTGAGATCATGCAGTGTTCGTTTTTTTGTGCCTGACTTACTTCACTTAACATAATGGTCGCCAGTTCCATCCATTGTTGCAGCAAATGACGTGATTTCATTTTCTTATAGCTAAATAGTATTCCATTGTGTACATACACTAGTTTTTTTAGATCCATTTATCTGTTGTTGAGCATTTAGGTTGATTCCATCTCTTAGCTATTGTGAACAGTGCTGTGATAAACATAGGAGTGCTGGTGTCTCTTCAATATATTTATTTCATTTCCTTTGGGTATATACTCAAAGTGGGATAGCTGGGTCATAAGGTAGATATATTTTTAGTTCTCTGAGGAATCTCCACACTGTTTTCCACAATGGCTGTACCAATTTACATTCCCATCAACAATGTAGGAGGGTTTCCTTTTCTCCACATCCTTGCCAGCATTTGTTATTTTCTGTCTTGTTAATAATAGCTATTTTAACTGGAGGAAGATGATATCTCATTGTGGTTTTAATTTGCATTTTCAAATGCACAGTAATGTTGAGCATTTTTCATGTGCCTGTTGGCCATTCGTATGTCTTCTTTTAAGAAATGTCTTTTCGGGTCCTTTGCCCATTTTCCAATTGAGTTATTTGTTTCTCTATTGTTGAGGTGTTTGAGTTCCTTACATATACTGGATATTAGCCCCCTTGTCTGATGTGTAGTTTGCAAACACTTTCTCTCATACAACAAGTAGGTTGTCTCTTTAGTTTGTTGATTGTGTCCTCTGCTGTGCAGAAGCTTTTTCGTTTGACATAGTCCCATTTGTCTATTTTTGCTTTAGTTGCCTATGTCTTTGTAATCTTGTTCAAAAAAGTGCCATCCACTACCATTTCATGTAGTGCTTCCCCTATGTTTTCTTCCAGTAGTTTCATAGTTTTGGGTCTTAAATTTAGGTCTTTAATCCTCAATGGAAATTTTAAACAAGTGGGATCAAGACCCTGAAGCATTTTTTGAAGAACTATAACAGGAGATTAAATATGGCTTTACCAATACGATCATGATGACAAAGCACAATCGAAGCAATGGCCACCACAAAACGGAAGGGGTCTAGTCAAAGCAACAGTGGACTGGTCAAGAGCAAAGGTCACAGCAAGTTTTTTGGGATGCTTAAGGTATTTTTCTTACTGACTTTCTAGAGAACCAACGAACAATAATATGTTTATTATTAGAGTGTTTTGAGAAAATTAGCCAAAACTTTAGCAGAAAAATGCCCAGGAAAGCTTCATAAGGAGTTTTTCACCATGATAATGCCCCTGCTCATTCCTCTCATCAAACAAGGGCAATTTTGCAAGAGTTTCCATGAGAAATCATTAGGCATCCACTTTACAGCAGTGATTTGGCTCCTTGTGACTTCTTTTTGTTTCCTAATCTTAAAATATCTTTAAAGGGCACCCATTTTTCTTCAGTTAATAATGTAAAAAAGATTGCATTGACATGGTTAAATTCCCACACCCCTCGTTTCCTTAGGGATGGACTAAATGGCTGGTATCATCACTTACAAAAGTATCTTAAACTTGATGGACCTTATGTTGAAAAATAAAGTTTATATCTTTGTTTTTATCTTTTAATTCCATTTGTCCACAAACTTTTTGAAGTCCCCTCATTGTGCAGAGTAAAACCTGAAAATAACCTAAATGCCCGTCAGTTGAGAAAAGGGTAACCCAAATGTTACATCTTTTTGTGATGTAAAATACTTAAAAGGAATTAACTAGATCCACAGACAACTTGTAAAATTATACCCAAAAGTATGTACACATGTATATTAATACTACTCATGCACATGTATTTATTAGTACAAAATACTAAAGTGGACTGCAGTCTGGCACTAGATAAGATGGCATAAGCACACCTGCCCTCTTGCTTCCACTGAATGCAGCTGTAAATTCCACACTGAATGTACGGAGAAGCTACTTGAGGACTTTGAAAAGTAAACAACAGCAGGCAGATTAGGAAAGAAGTCCAGAATTTTAAGAACCACCAAACCAGCAGTGAGTTAATCACATTTTCTTCTAGTATTTTTGGCCTGGACCCAAGAAAGCACCAAAACCCAGAAGTGACACTGACCCATACAGAAAGCACCAGGAGAAAGCCACTAGTTCAGGCTTGAGGAGTGGTAAAGGGGTCTTCTGGCAGCAACCATGGTGGTGGAAAGAGCCCCCAGGTAACTCTAACTCTGTGGGAGGGGAATCTTCCTCACACCTGAAGGACTTGTGATCCTTTGAACTCCTGCTGCCTGGCAGGATGTGGGCAGAGTCACAGAAGTATATGATACAGCACAGTATACAAAGCCCCGGCATTCCAAGTGAAGACTGAACAACGGAGCCCTGGGAAACTAAAAAGTACCAGGGGAACAGTGGAGAGTTAAAAGCTCAAAAAAGTGACCTCACAAAGTTGTTTATAAACTCCTGGCCTCACCTCAAGCTGTGTATGCATGCATCTGATCATAAATAGCATCTCAAAGACTCCCACCTGAAGAAGAGTCCAGATCATCTAGGTCTCAGATTGGCCAGTGGATGGCACATATGAGGGGCAGATCCAATAGCACTGTAAAGGCTTTTTGAAAACAGGACTGCCATTGAAACAACAACACCGAAAAGGCTAGCTGTAACTTGTGACCTGAACCCAACCAAGTTGACTGCCCGTGAAAACAAAAACATCAGCATTTTCCAAAGGATTTAAACAAGACCCAGAATCTCATAACATAATATTCAAAATGTCCAGGATAAATCCAAAATTACTCAGCATATGAAGAAATAGGAAAATCTGAACTCACAATCAAAAGACACCAAGGCCACGACACCACAGGCACTGGAAGTGTGTGGTACAGACTTTAAAGAACCTATTATTAAAAAGTGCTCTGAAAAGTCAAAGCCAACATTTGAAATGAATGGTGTGACAGGCAGAATCCTAAAGTACCCTGCCCCCCCGGCTGATTTCCTGACCTAATCCCCAGGACTATAAATGTATCAAACCCTGATTATGTTGTTACCTGGCAAAGGGGATTCTGCAGATATAATTAAGGTTACTAATCAGCTAACTTTCAGTTAATCAAAAGGAGTTTATCCAGATATGCCTAATCTAAATGAGCCCATAAAAAGCAAAGAGTTTCTTCCAGCTGGTGGCAGAAGAGGGAGTCCCAGAGACTCAAAGTGTAAGGAGGATTTGATGAGCTAGTGTGGCTTGAAGACGGAGGGACCATGTGAGAAGGAATGCAGTGAGCCTTAGAAGTTGACCCCAGCCGACAGCTAGCAAGGAAACAGGGACTTCAGTCCTATACACAGTAAGAAACTGGATTCTCCCAGCAACCTGAAAGCACCTGGAAGCAGATTCTTCCGCAGAGCCTCTAGAAAAATAGCCCAGACTGGAAAACACCTGGATTATGGCCTTGAGAGACCCTAATCAGAGAACCCAGTCAAGCCTACTCAGACTTCTAACCTACAGAACTGTGAAACAATAGGTGTTTTAACCACTAAGTTTGTGATAATTTGTTGTACAACAATAGAAAACAAATACAGATTTTTGGTATCTGGAAATGGTATCATAACAAGCACTTATTTAGGTTCATTTTGAGATCATTAATACAACCCTGCCATAGTTTGGATATGATTTGCCCTCACCAAAATTCATGTTGAAATCTGATCCCCAATGTGGGAATGTTGAGAGGTGGGGCCTCATGGGAGGTGTTTCAGTCTTGGTGGTGGATCTCCAATGAATAGATTAATGCCCTCCCTGGGGAGTGAGTAAGCTCTTGAGGGAACGATTAGTTCCATCGGGCACCTCCCCTTCCTCTCTTTTGCCTCTCCCTCTGCATGTGATCTCTACGTGCATGTCTGCTCCCCATCCACTTTCAGTCATAAGTGGAAGCAGCCTGAGGCCCCACCAGATGCAGCTGCCCAATTTTCCCTGGGGAGTGAGTAAGCTCTTGAGGGAACGATTAGTTCCATCGGGCACCTCCCCTTCCTATCTTTTGCCTCTCCCTCTCCATGTGATCTCTACGTGCATGTCTGCTCCCCATCCACTTTCAGTCATAAGTGGAAGCAGCCTGAGGCCCCACCAGATGCAGCTGCCCAATTTTGGACTTTCCAGCCTACAGAGCTGTGAGCCAAATAAACCTCTTTTCTTTATAAATTACCCAGTCTCAGGTATTCCATTATAGCAACACAAAAACATACTAATACAAACCCTGAAGTGTCACATGATACGTAGATTGGACTCACTGATTGCTCTAAGGTGAGAATATTCCTTTTTTAAATTTATTTTACAAAATACTATTCAAGAGACAATGCACCTTTTAAATTCTCCAGGCAATTTGTTTCTTCTATTTTTTAGAACTATTGCCAAATTAACTGTGTTTATTTAGAGAGAGGCCCAATCAGAATATTCTAACTAATATGTAAATAGATATTAACTTTTTAATATTATCCACCATACACTTTGAGTTTGGGGCACTGTCCTGGCTTCAAGTCTCCCAGAAGTTGCAAAATGGTGTCCAGGAGCACCCGACTTGAATTAACCAAGAATTCACGACCACATGCTGTGGCAGCAACATCTGCAACAGAAAGATAAAAAAAAGCATCAAGATCACTGTTACTGCAGAATCGAGAACATTTTGTCCAGGACAGAGTATTTGTGCTGTTTTTCTAACAGACTTAATGAAAACACAAGTATCTGACAAGGCATTAAGAAATGGTGTTATCCACAGAGCTGACAGGCCAAAAACAGTAACTGACAACCAGAAGAGTTACTTAAACAGAGAGTCATGTCCAGTGTGATTGGCAAGACCCTTGGTAGTAAAACAGAGCACGAGGGGCCGGCCCGTGGCTCACTTGGGGGAGGGTGGTTCTGATAACACCAAGGCCACAGGTTCAGATCCCTATATAGGGATGGCCAGTTAGCTCACTTGGGAGAGCATGGTGCTGACAACACCAAGTCAAGGGTTAAGATCCCCTTACCGGTCATCTTTTTGGAAAAAAAAAAGATAAAACAGAGCATGATAAGAAACATGTCTGCAGCCATCAAGCTCCAGAGCACCAGATCCAATGCTGTGGGCTGTCAGGGTCCAAACCTGAGGTGGGGGGTGATTATCTAGGACTGAGGACACTAGAGTTCACTTTCAATCCTGCAAACATTTGCTAATGACTTTTAACCATGACAGAAAACTGAAATCATATGAGATCAAAAAACAGAATATGAAAATTGATTCTTTTTTTTTTCTTTCTTTTTTTTTTTTTTTTAAAAGATGACCGGTAAGGGGATCTTAACCCTTGACTTGGTGTCGTCAGCACCACGCTCAGCCAGTGAGCGAACCGGCCATCCCTATGTGGGATCCGAACCCGGGGCCTTGGTGTTATCAGCACCGCACTCTACCGAGTGAGCCACGGGCCGGCCCTGAAAATTGATTCTGAAAAAAATTTTTTTCTAAATTTTTTGTCATATTATGGATCAGCAAGTATGTTTCTTCATGCCTGAAGCCCTGCACTGGATAAGATGGCACAGAGACTAGACTAAGTAATCACCCTGGCTCCCAGCAGATAGTGCTGCAGCTAATACTGGCTCTATGACCTCCCAAACACCTATAAGGATAAATCAATGATCTAAGTGCATTGATGTATGTGTAAGATTTTTTCTTTAGTTAGGTCTAACAATAAAGCATGATTCAAAATGACTAAGATTCCTGAGTCAAATGAGCAAGCCAAGGTGGAAGAGAGGCAGGGCAGCAGCAGCCTTGTCTCTGCTGACTTCAGTGGAAATGCTTCCAATAATTCACAGTTAAGTGTGATGTCTGACCTGTTTCTGGTACATATCCCTTACCAGTTTAAGGAATTTTCTTTTACTTTTAGTTTACTAAGAAGTATCAAAAATGGAGGATGAACTTTATCACTTATTTGTGCCTTTGGTTAATTATAATCTGACTGCAGAATATGAATTTCATTTATGCTACCAGTTCAACTGTGTGGAAGCAGATCCTTGACATTCGTATTTATTTTTGTTTACCTGGGCTGAGATGGACCAAGACAGATACAAATTCTCCTATACCTAACCAATTTTTTTCCCATTTTTACTTTTCTCTCCAGCCTCTTAGCCTCATAAAATTTCAGGATAGCTATAACTTGATTGAGGGCAGAACTCTCCATTGACACAAACTTACCTTCTTTGTTCAATGAATTTTAACCTGGTAATTATATTTTCCAGTATATGACACATTCTAGTTTGACTGAAGAAATATTTTAGGGGCAGGTGAAGCAACTAAGGATTTGGCATTATAAACATATACAAGATAAATTTTAGGTAGCTTTGAAGGGGAAAACATTATTCATGTAAGTACAGTTGACCATATACCAGAACCCAGCGGGAAAACATGAGTTGTAGCCATGCACTTTGGTAGCTAGACTGCAGAGGTGACTCACCAGTGAACAGTGCCTCCCATGTTCAGACCCTGCACCTGTGTCTCACTTATAACCAGCAGAATGCAGGAGAATTAATGCCATGTGCCTTCCTAAGCTTGGCAAGAAGAAGCTTTATGGCTCTACCTTGGCCTCTTGTCATGCACTCTAGGAGCCCTGGGTCGCTATGGAAGAAGTCCAGCTACCCTGAGGCTGCCATGATGGAGAGACCTACAGAAAGGGCACCGTGGAGATGCCCTGCGACTACATGAGGACAGACACCTGCTAGCCCCCAGCTGTTACATCCCTCCGCAGTTCAAGTCATCCCAGCTGAGGCCCCAATATTGTAGAGCAGCAGCAAACTGTCCCTGCCAAGTCCTGACCAAACTGCAGACTTGTGAGCAACACAAATGCTGTTGTTCTAACACTTTACATTTTGAGGTGGTTTGTTACACAGCAATAGGTAATAGAAACATTACTAATACATCACTGAAGAACAAATAAAACAGCAAAAACAATATTGTATAACAGCAGGCAGCAACACCCAGTACAACAAATTTACCGGTAAATGAAATTCTGTATCATACAAGAGTACTTCAAAAAGTTCATGGAAAAATAGAATCTAAAGGTAACGTGAATCTTCACATGAACTTTCTGAAGTGCCCTCGTATATCCAGCATTGTAATAGCAAATACCAATCCGGTATTTCATGGAATACCAATAACTAAAGTGTAAACCACGACACAAAATAAATGTGAATAAACTCGTACACAGACAGCTCCAGTACTTGTTGATCTGTTGGAACTTACATTTATTTACATTGTAGTCTGCACTTCAGTTACCAATAGTTAACCTGTCTGGGATGCTTGTAAGTCAGTTCAAGGCCTATAGAACTGACTTTGTTATCATCCACCATAAGCAGACATAGGACTGCTGGTTTAATTTTCTGCTAAAATAGTTTTTCCTACGTTCATTTTTCAATAAAACTGTTTATAGTTAATTCAAGAGGTTTGCAAAGTGATTACATAATTTAAGAGATGAAACTGGTATCAATTATGTATGCTGAGAAAGATATAGAATTGAGATGTATTGTCTGATACTTTTGCTTTGAATTGTAATAATTTTGTTTTACTTTTAGCAATAAAAATAATAATGGGGTATTGGCATAATGATAGACATATAGATCAATGGCAGAATTGAGTCCAGAAATAAACCCTCACATATATGGTCAGTTGATTTTCAACAAGGGTGAGAAGATAATTCAATGGAGAAAGGATAAAAGAATAACCTTTTTAACAAATGGTGCTAGAACAACTGGATATCCACATGCAAACGAATGAAGTTGTACCCTTACCTGCCACCATATACAAAAGTTAAATTCAAAATGGATCAAAGGTCTAAATGTAGCAGCTAAAACTATAAAACTTTTAGAAGTAAACATAGGAGTAAATTTCATAACCTTGAATTAGACAATGGTTCCTTAAATATGACACCAAAAGGACAAGCAACTAAAGAAGAAGTAGACAAAGTCAACATAATCAAAATTTAAAACTTTTGTGCTTCATAGGATGCTACTGAGAAAGTGAAAAGACAACGACAATGGTTCCTTAAATATGACACCAAAAGGACAAGCAACTAAAGAAGAAGTAGACAAAGTGAACATAATCAAAATTTAAAACTTTTGTGCTTCATAGGATGCTACTGAGAAAGTGAAAAGACAACTCACAGAATGGGAGAATTTGCAAATCATAGATCTGATAGGGACTGGTATCTAGACTACACAAAAAACTCTTACAACTCAATGATAACAACACAAATAACCAAATTAAAAATGGGCAATGGACTTGAATAGACATTTCTCCAAAGAAGATATACAAACAGCCAAGCACATGAAAAGATGTCTCAACATCATTAGCCATCATGGTTATGCAAGCCAAAGCCACAATGAGATACCACTTTATATCCACCAGCATGGCTGTAACCAAAAAGACAGATAATAAAAAGTGTTGCAAGGATGTGGAGAATCTGGAGCCCTCATATACTGCTGGTGGGATTGTAAGATGGTGAAGCCACTATGGAAAATAGTCCAACAGTTCTTCAAACAGTTAAAGCCCTACCACATGACCTAATAATTCCACTCCTAGTTATACATCCAAGAGAAATGAAAACATACGTTCACACAAAACTTGAAGATGGATGTCCATAACATCATTATTCATATAGCGGAAAAGTGGAAACAACCCAAATATCCACCAGTTGATGAATGGACAAACGAAACATGGTATATCCATACAATATATTATTCAGCCATAAAAAGGAATAAAGCACTGACATGTGCTACGATGAAAATGAACCTCGAAACCATCATGCTAAATGACATAAGCCAGACTCAAAAGACTGAAAGAAGGACCACATGTTATGATTTCATTTATATGAAATGTCCAGAACAGGTAAATCTATAGAGACAGAGAGTAGATCAGTAGTTGCCTAGTGCTACGGGGATGTCAGGACTGGGGGTGATGGCTAAGGTAAGCAAGGCTTCTTTCTGAGATGATGAAATGTTTTAAAATTGACTGTAGTGATGGGTGCACAACTATATACATACAGTAAAAACCATATTTTCACTTTAGATTGGCAAACTGAATAATATATGAAATATATCTCAACATAGCTGCTAAAAAGTAAATCAATAATAATAATAGGGATACAATTTTCATGCTTAATGGACTTAGTCCCTACTGCTCACCCTGGCTCTGTTTTCTATAAACCTCTTATCTGCAGCACTAACACTGTACTGTATTTTTTGAAAGAAACATAAGCAATGATGTATGTATCCTCTAACATTAATATTATGACCCCATTTTATTGTTTGGTTTTTGTTTCTTTGCATTTACCTGGGCTAGCAGTGGTAGGTTTCATATCAATTCAATTATCTGGCAGTCACAGGGGGGAGACAGGGCCAAGGACTGTGAATAATCACAATCTGGAAACTCTGCCTCTGTGCACTATTTACAGAAACCCCCTCCAAGTTGGAGGGAATGCCCAGTTCTGCTGGGAAGCAGCTCCTAGAATTCAGTTTCTCTTCCCCTGTGGGTAACCTGGTTTCTGTGGCAAGAAGCCAGAGCAGAGAAAAGCCACCTGCAGCCCAAGGGCTATCTGAGAGAGC